GATCACTTAAATTTGGTTTTGCAAAGATGCAGAGAAATGAACTTAGTATTGAACTGGGAGAAATGTCATTTCATGGTTCAAGATGGAATAGTCTTGGGACATAAAGTATCGGCAAAGGGGATAGAGGTGGATAAGGCGAAAATTCAGGTTATTGAGAAATTACCACTACCTACATCACTAAAAGGAGTTCGAAGTTTCCTTGGGCATGCAGGGTTTTACAGGAGGTTTATAAAGGACTTCTCCAAAATCACCAAGCCTCTGTGCAACTTGCTAATGAAAGAGGTATCTTTTGAGTTTGATGAGGAATGTTTGATAACGTTCAATAGTTTGAAGGAAAAACTCACAATAGCACCTGTGATTGTGTCACCTGATTGGGATTTGCCCTTTGAGCTAATGTGTGATGTGAGTGATCATGCAGTTGGTGCGGTGTTGGGACAAAGAAAGAATAAAATCTTTCATGTGATATACTATGCAAGTAGAACTTTGAACGACGCTCAAATCAACTATGCTACGATCGAGAAGGAATTGCTAGCTGTGGTTTATGCATTCGACAAGTTTAGATCGTATCTTGTTAGGTCTAAGGTTATCGTCTACACAGATCATGCCGCTCTGAAGTATCTTATGACAAAGAAGGATGCTAAGCCGAGATTGATCCGTTGGATATTGTTGTTACAAGAGTTCGATATTGAGATCAAGGATAAAAAGGGCAGTGAAAATGTGATAGCCGACCACCTATCAAGATTGGAACGGGATGAACCTGAGATGTCAGTTGACATCAATGAAATCTTTCCAGATGAGCAAATTTTTGGAGTAGAAATAGTCCCATGGTACGCCGATACCGTTAACTACCTTGCTAAGTCCATCCCGCCACTAGACTATTCTAGCCATCAAAGAAAGAAGTTCTTCGCAGAGCTGAAGTATTACTTTTGGGAGAATCCCATTCTCTACAGAAGAGGCCCAGATCAGATAATCAGAAGATGTATTCCTAAAGATGAAGTACCTGAGATTCTAGAACATTGTCACTCTTCTGCATATGTTGGGCATTTTGAAGCTTCAAAGACTGCTGCAAAGATACTACAGTCGAGTTTCTACTGGCCTACTTTATTCAAAGACACATTCGAGTATGTGAAGAGATGCGATAAATGTCAACGAACCGGAAATATCTCAAGAAGAAATGAGATGCCACTAAATTACATCTTGGAGGTTAAAATATTTGATGTATGGGGAATAAACTTAATGGGACCTTTTTTCCCGTCATACTCAAATCAATATATCTTAGTGGCCGTTAACTATGTCTCTAAGTGGGTAGAAGCTGTTGCATTGCCTACTAACGACGCGAAAGTGGTGATAGAGTTCTTGAAGAAGTACATATTTACAAGATATGGTACACC